AAAACTCTCATAATCATTATCATATTTTTTCAATATATCCATAAACTCATTTCTAGAACAATATGCTATATGTGTCATATTTACACTTTCGCAATCAGATTCTCTTGGATTTGATGTAAAAAACGAATAATGTCCAAAGGCATCATTTGTCTTTTATATTATAAATACTATATTTTTTTTTTTTTATAAAGTACATATTTTGTATCTATTTTTATTTATTATTTTTATTAATTATTCACGGTTAATTTTACTTCTCCTTTAATTATTATAAAAATTCGATTTTCTTCATCAATTTCTTAGTTTGAATATATAGTTTGTCCATGTGCATATACTTTTTCTCTCATAACTTAAATTAAATTTTTAAGGATATCATCACTAAAATATTCTCCTAAAATCTTACTGTTTTTAAGTATTTTCCAATAAAATTAAAACCTAACCTTATTTTTCAGAGTAGGATCTATTTCATTTAATATATCTAATCCATGTTCAGGCGAATCAATTTAACTGTTTTACAAATAAACCAGATTTTTTATTACTTGAATTTATAATGATTATTCTTAGAATTTTATATTAATAAAAAAAATATATATATATATAAAAATACCTATTTATCTATTAGACATATATTTCGTTAATTAATATTTTTATTCTCTAAATAAAAAAATTATTATATTATAAATATATATATATATATATATATATATATATATATATTTACTTTATAATAGCTTCTCTTTTTTCTTTTTCTTAAAATAACGTTCCAATTACATTTACTGTATATGCAAACTATCCACAAGAAATTAAAGTAATAAAAATCGTATAAACTATTTCTATATTATTCTAAGGCGTAATATCTCCATACCCAACAGTGACCATAGTAATAATGGAAAAATAAAGACTATTAATGTATTTAGTTTACCAATCTGAATCCTAAAAAGATTTAGCCAATATCCAATTTTTCTCATTATTAAAAGTACTCGTTAAATGAAATCCACATCCACACATATGTGCTACAAGAATAATAGAAATTGCTAGCTTTATAAGGGTGGCTGAAGTGATATGTTTTTGAGAAATTTAAAATCGCTCATCTAAATTATTAATTATGTCTTAGATTTGGAAAATTCTTATCAAAAATATTAATTTGATATATGAAAAAGCTTCATTTGAAATTATAACGGTGGTAATAATATCTACCCAAAAGTTATACTTTACATACTATTTGAAAATTTCGGATCTTTTATTTATTAAAGAACCCTCATATGAGTAATATCCAAGATTAAAATTTACCAAAATATCTATAAAAAATACTAATATGGGTAAAGTAAACAGAAAAAAATAAATATCAGATGTATAATTATGACTTCCATATAAAAACGATATATTTATTGGAATATATAAGATTTATTACAAAAGCAAAATTACAAGAATAAATTTCCAAACAATTATTAAAGCACTATCAGGCTTAAATACATTTATTTTGTTTTATAAATATTTTATTAATCTTATATTACATAATGTACTTATAAAACTATTATATATTATATTATTTTATTTTTTGTTTTAATTAATATGTAATTATTCTTCTTATTATTATTATTATTTAAAAAAATATGTTTTGTCGTTTATGTAATTGATATGTGTTTAATTTAATCTTTAAAAGCGTATTTTGGCACTTTAGTTTTTTATTCTTTTTATAAAATTTTTTATTTATATTAAAATATTTATGAATCTCCAACTTATAGAGAGCTTTTTATTCATTAAAAATTAGGTTTGTAAATTATTTTGTTAATCTAAACTATTTTCTTCTAATTGATTTTAATTTGATACATAATTTACATTCAAAAACTTCATTTTCCCTATAATTTCTTTATTTTAATCTAATTATTTTTCTAATGCTTATCTTCTACCAATATTAACTAGTTTTTTTATAAGTTTTTTTTTGTATCAATTTAATCAATGTTATTTTCTTATTATATTGGAAGTATTTTTTATTTTATACGATTTACAACTTTTGAAAATAAAGAAACTTTTTTTGTTTACGAAATTCGGCAAAATTTGAGTTAAGTTTTTGGCAATAATTCATTCAAATTGGTTGTTTCATTTTTTATTTCTAATATTTTATTTTATTATCCAACTATTGTATCTCTTGGAGTTTGAGCTATCTTTTCTATTTCATTTATTATATTATTTTTACTATAATAATTGTTAAGGTGAATAGACATTATTATATTTATATATTTATTTTCCTTATTTTTTCTAAAGTATTTATAAAAAAAATTTAATTAATTATTATTAAAGTATTTTTTAATAAAAATTATTTGAATTTAAATATATATTTATTTATATATAACTTATTGTTAATAAAATTTAAATGATTATGAAAATATTTATTAGAGTTTCATTTTATTTACATATATAAAAAAATATTATTTAAATAAAAAATAATAAAAATATAAAATTTTATTTAATAATATTACTCGAATAATAATAAAAAAATTTTAAATAATAAATAAGAATTCTTTTTTAATATTTAAATAATTACATAATGAAATTTTAACTAAAAATAAACTTTAACATATGAAAATAGTTTTTTTTTCTTAAATAAATAATAAAAAATATAATAAGAAAAGTATATATATTTTATAAAAACCACAAAGATTATAAGAATTATATATATATTTTTTTAAAATATTTATATTATTTTGTAGTTATATACATAACATATATATATATATATTTTAGTATTTTCTATAAAAAATTTTAAATGGTTATTTCCAAATTAATTAAACTTCACTAAATAAAAAAAAATTATAAAAAATTTAAAATTAAAATAAATAAATATGTATAAATTATTAAAAGAAATTATGCAAAACATTAATATAATGAATCATTAAATTAGATATATATTATTCAAAGAATGTAAGTAATATTAATTAATTTAAATATATATTTTATTAAATAAAAATGTTTCTATTTTAAATTCGACATATTAAAACTTTTGATTTATAACCTTCAATTTATTTATATAAACCTTATTTAAGATTTTATTTTTATTAAATATATATATATATATATATATATATATATATATATATATATATATATATATATATATATATATATATATCTTTG